CCGCCCCCCCGCCCCCCCCCCCCCCCCCAAGCATCCTGTTTTCCCCAGAGCCAGCAAGAGGGGCAGAAGAAACCAAGGCACGTTCTTCCAGCTAGCTCTCACCACTGCGCTACCTAGGCTAGCGCATCCAGTGTGGTCTGGCCAGCTGCTAACCCTGCGCTTCCTAGGCCTCATTCCCAGCACTGACCATCCGCCCAGTCCTGCTGTGCGGAGCCTTCCCGTATCTGGCTAACAGGCACCAGGAACAGAGCCAGCAAGAGGGGCAGAAGAAACCAAGGCACGTTCTTCCAGCTAGCTCTCACCACTGCGCTACCTAGGCTAGCGCATCCAGTGTGGTCTGGCCAGCTGCTAACCCTGCGCTTCCTAGGCCTCATTCCCAGCACTGACCATCCGCCCAGTCCTGCTGTGCGGAGCCTTCCCGTATCTGGCTAACAGGCACCAGGAAGGAGAGAGCCAGCTCACAAGCCTCCTGCAAGGGACTCCCCGCGCTCCCCCGACACTTGATGTTTTGGTACAGGTCTCCCGCCGACATGACTCAGCCGTGGTTATTGCTCACGGACACCCCAGCACCACTCCCAGCGGCCCTTCCAGCTGGGGGGACAAATCCTGCTCCACTACTTCCCCTCCTCCAGTCATAGCCAGGTGGAAGGGAGTCTATTTCACCGGTGCCACGGCTCAGAGGGGATCAACTTAACACACAACGAATGGTTCTGCGGCACCTTAGAGCCCAACAAAACACGTAGATGGGATGTGGGCACAACCCACTTCAGGGGGGGATCACGAGCCCACGGGAAGCAATGACAAAACTCCCCATTAATTTCAAGGACTAGGCCTGCAGTTCTCTTGTGCCATTCACTGGCCCCTCAGAGGAAACCCGTCTTGACCCTGAACATGGTAACTGCAGACAGTCTGTTGCATGGGGTGAGAAGCAAACAGTCCACCTTCAGCTTCTGGGCAGCTCAGGCCTTCAGGGGGTCTTGCTACTCCCTGAAGCATCTGCCCCACGGGAGAGTGCCAGTTCTCTCACTTGCACTGGCGCTCGGCCCTCTTGGAGCACGCATTGCTCCTTACAGGGAGCAACTCAGGCCCAGATTCAGTTGGCTGTCTGCTTAGGGGTGGCTGGCCTCAGATGCGTTAACGGGGACTGGCTCTTCCTTGGGAAATCTTTCACTGACACCTCCAAGGTGCCTCCAAGGGGACTCCTAAAACCCAAGGCATCCAAAATCACTCAGCTCTTAAACAAGGTTGGCCTTAACATCAGGAGAAAGCAGCCCCCTCCCCATACACACTTCACCAAGGCATCCCATCCTGACCTAGGCACCTCCACCCTGGGTTAGTCCTTTCCTGGACTTCCCAAGTTACATGGCTGACACGGGGCCTTGGGACTGAGGCCACCGGGGAAACGTTGCCTCCAAAGGCCAACAGCATTGGCTCACGGAGTGCCTGAAGCCAGCACTTCTAGCGATTGGTTCTTTTCTAGCATCTCTGAGGCTTAGAAGCAGAAGTCAGTCAAAACTCTTCTGAAGCCGTTTTGTGTAGGAGACGAGGCCCCTTCAGGGCTCTTAGTTCCTTGGGAGAGAAGCAGCTTTACAGAACCTCTAAAGGGAGACTCCAGAGAGACTGAGGCGCACAGATTCCCAGACATGATTCATATTCAAGCCCAGCTGACGTGTCCCCTCCAGTCCCCCCTGCTGAAGCCCCCTCTTAGTGTAAGGGAAAGTTCTCAGGAATTTGAAGCAGTGCCACAGAGGAGCAGGGCAATAACATTCCTTGTTCCCATCCACCAGGACTAGTGAGCAAGCTCCCTTCCACAAAACAAAAGCAGCTAGTGGTGCCGATCACAGACACTTCTTAATGAGCTAAATTCTGATTCAAGTCACCCTGGTGTAAATCCAGAGTAACTTCAAGGAACTATTCCTAACCTAGTGCAAGTCTGGCAACAAATCAGACATTAGTCCTTTAGAAGAAGCTTTTGTTCACAGCTTTATAGCCAGCAGATCTGAAATAAAGAGGTTATAACTTAAAATGCATTTATTACCTAGGAACCAATCAAGTTAAGTGATACACCTTTTGCTTTCTGAGCAGTTGTGTGTCTACATTTTAAAACAAAGACATACACAAAAAAGGAATTTTCTCGCTCTCCTCCGAAGAGCCCCAATCCTGTAAACACAGGCGCACCTGCTTAACTTTACTCATACAACTAGTTCTCTTCCAGTGAATGGGATCCTGCACATGAGTAAAATTTAAACCTATGCATAAGAGTTTGTAGGATGAAAGCCAGAACAAACAGCAAAGCTGTTCACAAGTGACAGTAACAAAAGCCACAAGTATTGGGGGGGGGGGGGGGGGACTTTGGTGTCTTGATGCAAAATCAAGACATCTCCCAGCAAAATGACACCTAAAGGCTTATAATGGTGATTAGAAATCATTAGCTACGGAGACTCAAGGGGGCTTACAAACACCTTTTGCTCCTGTGAGACTTCGGATTTCAAGAACAGAACCAAGTGCCTCAAACAAACTCTCAGTCGATTACAATTTGTGTTTATGAATTGTGGTAATAAACAACAGACTAGCCCTAGTCACATGCAGATTCATTCCTCTGAATTGCCTGTGTAGTCTGTCAGGCCAAACTTTACTGACAAAGTCCCCCCTGCAGCAGGAAACAGCAACTCAGGAGAGCCCAACAAAGTAAAACGTTACCTTCTTTAGTCAACTCTTCTGAGAGGAGAGCAGATGCACAAAACTCCTCTCCTCTGGAGCAGTCAGGAGATGGAATCCGGTTAAAAAGTCAGCCTCGAGGAGAGCAGCTTACGGATCCCTCACTTCCCTGCTTTCTCTCCCTGTGGCTCAAACTCACCCCAAGAGCTAGCTGTCTAGAGGCAAGTGCACTCAGCAACTGCTGCAGCTGCTCCTGTGTCTTAATCTGATCAGAGGAGCCCAGCAGCGCTGCTGTTTAAAGCTTAAAGGCAAAGTTCAGCACAGCTGAGAGGAGACTCTACTGCTGGGGAACTTTATCCCTTCTCCTGCTCAAGGTGCTTGGCTGGGGCCCACCCCAGGGTTTAGAAAGGGAAAAGCAACCAGGCACCCTCTGATTATCAGCCACCTTTCTGCAGAGGCTGCAGACAGTTCTCTGCTCCAGCGCTTTGTCCACTCTGCTGTCCTCCCATAAAAACACACACAGCCCACCGAGAGACATAGTGCCCACCCCGTACAAACGCACACAGCCCACCGAGAGACATAGTGCCCAGAGCCAGGAGGGACCCCGCTCGCTGCAAACTAGCCCTGCTTTTGCCTGTGCTGGCCACCATGAAAGGCAGGAGACCAGATCCCCAACTGGAGTCAATCGGTGCAGCTCATCAGATGGTGTGAATCAAAAGTGGAGCAATGGCAATTTACTTCAGCTGAGAATCCGGCCCAGCAGCTTTCCTCTTTTTCCTCTGCTTTCACTGCCTCCCCGTGGGGACGGCCTCTCTGGCCTCACCCCAATCCCAATGGCTTGAGGAGAGAGCCGCGCTAACTGAGGCTACGTCTACACTGAGGAGCTATGTCGGGATCCCGGAAGTATCCCGGAACAGCTGGGCCGCAAGCCCGTTATTTTGAAATGTGACAGGCTTGCGAGTCTGACGTCCCTGAAAGCCTTGCTCCACGAGCAGTAAGGGACGTTTTGGAATAGCGCTCGGTTTCAAAATTAACTGGAAATAAGCTACACAATTTGTCAAGAATCAGAGGGGTCGCCGTGTTAGTCTGGGTCTGCAAAAGCAGCGAGGAGTCCTGTGGCACCTTATAGACCAACAGATGTATCGGAGCATAAGCTTTCGTGGGCAAAGACCCACTTCGTCAGACTATAAGGTGCCACAGGACTCCTTGTTGCTTTTGCACAATTTGTGTAGCTCAGATTGAATAGCTTATTTTGAGCTATGGGTGCTGTGAGGACGCGCCCTGCCCTCCGTGTGTGGTTGTGTGTAACTACAGCAAGGGGGAAGGACAGTTGACAGCCCAAGAGCCTGTCCTCTGCAGTCACAGGAGAAGTACAGCGCCACTCGCAGCAGCACACGCTTCCTCCCTGCCCACGGAACTGCCTTGTCCACAGTTCACTGACCTGCTGGGAGGGCATTTGCTACCCTACATCCCCACTGGTGCCTCCCCTCCCTACCTACTGTAGAAGCACCTACGCTCTACGTCCCTAGTGGCTCCTGGGGTGTCAGCCTTCTGGAACACGTCCATGAGCCCAGGCAATTTGTGTGGAGGAGGGAGACTCCCCTGGTCTCTTGGGAAACTGCATAGTTCCCCAAAGGGCGTGTGGCGCTTGCGCCCAGCAGCCCGTGCAGTGCCTCTAGATGGCAAGCAACAATTGTGACCAAAACCGTTGGCCATGCAGAGAGGCTTTTTGACCGAACAAATCTTCATGAGCAGTGGTCACCTCAGTCGCACTCAGAGCCGAGCAAGCGCGGGGACACTGGGCTTGGCCCAAATCAGGCTGGAAAGTTGGAACATTGTATTTTCTTCTGGAACAAAATGTTGCACTTTGGAAGTTTTCAATAGAAATTAAAATGTTTAATATTCTCCAGTTAAAATGTTCCATTTCAGTTTGGCGAACTGACCAGAAACATTTCATTTTGAGGCATTTCCATGTTAAACTACATTTATTATTTCTATGATGAAATTTTCTACAGGGTCACTTATGTGTAATTTATTTCTACACACTGACATGGCCGACTGCCTTGTGGGAGCTGTAGTTCCGAATGCCCGATGCCCCCAGTCTCCTCTAGGGCCCAGTGCTCCCTGGACAGACTGTGCTTCCCAGCATGTGCTTGCAGCTGTATGGCTGCACAAAGCTGCACCGCAGCAGAGGGGAGACTCTATAGTGTCATGGGGAATGGAGCTCAGCCCATAAGAGCAACCCGCATAGACAATGCGGAGCAAGCAGGAGACATGCCGTAATGGATGGACTCAGCTGGGCACCCTGAAAATCTTGGCCTGGTATCAGCATTTCCAGGCCCTTTCCTCACCCCCTGCTCGAAGCAGGTTTCCTCCTCCCTCTCCTCTGCGCAATGCTTCCATGATGTGCTGGGTGCCGTGCACAAAAGGCTGGACTGGAAGTGGGAGCTCTGTTGTCAGCTCTGCCACTGAGCTACTGTGTGACCATGGACAGTCACTTCGTCTCTTCTCCCTGCTTTGTCTGTCTGGTCTATTTCTACTTCAGGCCTGTCTCGCTACGTGCGCCTGCAGCACCTCGCCAATGACGCCGGGCTCTGGCTGATGCTATGAGGCCTGACTGCGGGGCAAAACCCTTCACTCCTGGCATGGGTAAAACTCCCTTTGAAGTCAAAGGGCATTTTCCCTGATGAACGCCTAGACCAGGGGCCAGCAACCTTTCAGAAGTGGCGTGCCAAGATTTAACGTGCAGCCGGGCCCCGAGTTGCGAACGGTCAACTTACGAACGTTCGCAGTTACGACCGAAGCTGTCAAAATGGCAGACCCCAAGTTACGAACGCGGTCCGTGCATACGAACAGTCACGTGTAACTCTATGGGGTCTGACTTATGAACCAAGAGTTATGGACCAATTGCTTGATCCGTAACCGGTTCGTAAGTCGGGGAGAGGCTGTATTCACGTCTGTTTACGGATCTGCGTGCCATTGGTACTTTTTAAAGTCATTAATACCGCCATTGGCTACTGAGAGCCAATTCAACCTGCTGTCAGGATTTCTGTATTTTTTTTAAATATACGATTTTGATGGCTTTTCGTCTTCTCTCCCTCTGCCTTCAGGTGCCTCAGAATAACACCAGCCGGTGCTCGTGGGGGAAGCTGGAGGCTGTCAATGAGCAATCGTGTTTCCAGTCAGTACTATGCACTAAGGATGAAATGCACAAGTGATGTGGCCATCTGCCACATTCAGGATTTAAGCCCCACGTAAGAGGGGTCACTGTCCCACAGAAGAGTCAGTTAGGGACCACACAAGTGAAGCAAAAACCTCCTCCCAAAACCCCCAACCCTCACTGATGTGGCCCCCAACTGACACACCTCACTCTTCTGGCACTCCAGCCTCCAGAGGGTGAGGGGAAGGGACAGGAAGGACAGAGGTTCAGGACTTCCCATAGGCCAGATTTACTTTTCCGGGGTGCTGGAGTCAGTGGATTTTGTGAACCCCCTTAGGCTCTGGGGCGGGGACAAAACGTGACGGCCATTTTATGCAAATTAGGTGCAGGATATTTAAATCTCTGCCTCATTTGCAATGTCGACCTGCCTAATCTGCATCCCTCCGCCGACAGAGGGATGCAGTCTAGACATACCTTCAGGGTTTATGCAGCTTTGTATTAAATTCAGTCCTTTTCATCCCCTTGTTCCTAGGGATTCTGATGGACTGTGATTTAGTCTTAAAAATGTCCTTGATGCTTTTTTAACCATGGATCCAGTATGTATCCATGGCCCAAGTTCTGGCCCCGGTCACTGGAGCAG